CCAGCCAGTCCCACCGGGATAGCGATGCGCCCCGGCACTGCTGCTGCCAGCATGCCATCCTCTGCAACGACCAAGAGACCTCAGCGTCCCCCCCACATCCACCCCATTCACCATCCCCACTGGTACCACCTCCATTCCTTTAGCATGGGGCAAGCAGGGCACCACCCCCAGCATCTGGGCTTGGTCCTTCTCCGAAGGCAGGAGAAATAAACCTTTCTCAGTCCAAGGAATTACTCCTATTTTCCCCAAGCAATAAGGGCAAGAGCAGAGGGAATATCCCTGCTGCTGGAGTTGTGTCCATCCCCGGGAAGAAATGCGTGACGGGGGGAACACGTACTCCTCACCTACCTTTCTTAACAGCATGCAGCTGGCCAAGCTGGCCGCAGCTGTGTGTGGAGATGCTAAGAGCTGGCAGAGGCAATTTTGGGGAGCCCAGCAGGGTTGGGGTGCTGACTGGCGAGTAGTTGAAGAGTGCTGTGCCAAAAGTCTGCCTCCGTCCCTCCCGGCGGTTGCTGTCGATGGCAGCTTGGAGCTCACCCGGAGAGCTGAGCGCTCGCTTCTCACATTCATAGGGATACAGGTACTTCATGTATCTGCATGGAGAGAGCCGGGATGAGACCCACACCATGAGCCTCCCAGCCAGCCCTGGGGTGAGCAGGAACCATGGTGCTGATGGCACCTGCGAAGGGACAGAGCCCTCCATCCCCTTTTGGGACACCCCATGAAGTACCCCGCTTGGGCTCTGGGACATCCAGAGCCAGTGGGTGCCCCTGGGTGGGTGCTCACTGCGTGCGGAGGGTGAAGGCAGCGCTGGTGATGGAGGTAGGCAGGTTGAGGCCCTTGGTGATCTCCCGCCAGATCTTCTTGTTGATGACTTCGACCAGGCCACCCTTGTCCGTCACCAGCTGGTACAGTGTGTACAGGTCCAGCACTTGCTTGGCCATGATGGGGATGCGGTTCACAGGCGTCCCTTACAGCCGCACACAGCAGAGAGAAAAGGGTGCTAGGTGAGCCCACGGGGACCCATATTCCCTGGAAACACTGTCCCCACCTTGTCCCTACTGCTACTGGGGATACCAGCTGCCCCACAAGGGGAGACACATCTCTGTATCAGGGTGAGCACCCATAGAGAGCAGCACCATGCCTGTGAGCAGGGCAGACCCCAGCATGTTGGCACAGGGTCCCGATTAACAGAGCTGTCAGTAGGGATGGGTAAACTCGCATGTGGGAAGTGTGGACAGAGTGGGAGGGTAAAGTGCCTCCTCCAAAGCCCCTTAGAAAGAGTCATCCTCCACAACATTTAGAGCTCCTGATAGAGCATCTCCCCCCAAAAATCTCTCAGAGCATCTTAGAAGGACTCTATGTATTCCCTTTCAGAGTCCCATAAAAAGAGACCTGATCTAAACTTTATAAAGTTTAGGGACTCACCCTATAATCTTTCTATAGAGAGGTTTTCTCTCTTAAAATCCCCTCTGAGCCCCATAGAGAGGGGCTCCCCACCCACAGATCCTTCCCCAGCAGTCTTTTTATACCTTAAATAGTCTAAATATTTAAAGGCTTCTGTGCCCTGTCTCAAAAGACTTGACCCCAAATCCCCTTCAAATGCCCTCAGCAGAGATCCTGATCCCTGGTCCCCTAGTATCACCCCCCTCCCCGAGGCCATGGGGTATGGGGACATGAGGTTACCAGGCCTCTGTGAGCCCAGCATGGACCAGCATGGTCCCCACAGCCACCATGTCTGGTTACAATCCCCCCCCACACACACACACACTTTCCAAGCATCCCCAAACAGCCCCACTGCCTTACTCTGCCCCACTGCCCCTCGGGGCAATGGTCCAGGCAGGGGGTGAAGGATGCAGCAGGGCAGAGGAGGGACGAGCATCCCATCACATCCCATCCCATCCTGTCCCATCCCACCCCATATTTATTCCTCCTGCAGGGTGGCGGGGCGCAGGCGGTATCGGAAAGCCATCCATTTGGCCGGGGGAGGCTGTCACGGCTGCGCTTTGCCCCTCAAACGAAGCCGTCACTCACCGCCATCCTCCAGCATCCCTAATTTATGGCCCCGATATTGGCTCGGCTTCTTCACATAAGCCTGAAAAATGAGCTCTTTTTATTCCTTTACTGAGTTCATTTAACTTTTTTTTGTGTGTGTGTGTCTCTGTTGTTCGCCTGCTTGGGAAGGGGCAGAGGAGTTTATCCTCCTGGGAACAACACAGAGATATTGACTTGATACCTGCCAGCGGTCTCTCACTAGCCCTGCCTGTGTCTGCCCGCACCAGCCCCATCACCTCATGGGGGCTCGATTTGAGGACTCCCCATCACCCCAATATGCCAATCAGTGAGCAGGGTCTCACCCCCAGTCGATGGACCATGGATTTCTTCCTTCTTCCCCCATCCCCAGCCATGGTGGCTATCCAAAGTGGCTCACCATTAATCTCAGGGCTGCGCGGGGAGGGCGGCCGGTGCCCATCCCGCTGACAAAGGGACCTGTCTGCGTCCCCGCAGAGTGATGGCCCCAGCCCTGGCCAGCGCGAGCGGCACAAAAGCTCAGGGAGGTGATGCGGCCATTGTGGTGCTGCAATTAATTCCTTGATTGATTAATGGCCCCGTGTTATCAGCAGGGCCCTCGGCTTGGCAAAGAGATGGTGGACCGTCGCTGAGCAAATGCAGAATTATTCACTTCAGTTCCCAGTTGGCCATTTCTGGAGTGCCACGGAGGTTGGGGCATGGCAATGAGGTGCTCCACAGCCTGTACCCATGTCTGATGGGGGTGATACCATCACTCCCGTGTGCTATTGGGGCTGGGTGTCCCTGCCTTAAGCCATGAAGTCCCCGATGTCCCCCCTCAGCAGGGCTGTCCCCAACCCATTCTTCAGCCCCACGTATTTTCCACCCCTCTGACAAACACCAGTGCCAAAACTGCCCTGACAGACATTAGGGGCACATGGCCCCTTTAATTAAGGCTCATCCTGTAGGCATTTATCCCCAGCGTGCCACTGCCTCCTTTGGGATGCAGCCTGGGGGCAGCAGCTGCCTCCCTGTGCACCCCTGGTTGACCCTGCAGCACCCATGCTGGCTCATGGATGCTGCTTCTTACCCAGCTCCTGATGACTCCTGGGATGCTGTCCCTGCCCTGCTGCCCCCTGTCCCTTTTCTCTTTGCTACCTGGCTCTAAAATCCACCACTCCAACATATGCATTCACACTTGCCTGCACTCCTGGGGGGGAAAAGTGACCCACTCGGAGGAGATGTGGGGCAGAGGGGACAGAAGCGGGACAGCCAGACACACAGGGATGAAGAGCAGGGAAGCATCGGGCTTCCTCCCTCCTCCCCGCATCACCATGCACTTGCTTAATTAGCCCCAGCCCCAATGGCGAGGGAGTTAATTAGCTCTGGAGAGAGAGATAATGAAGCCGCAGAACAGCCCATGAATCTTGTGTCTGATGGATGCTGGGGGAGCTGAGGCAGTGCTGATGCTCCCACTTGCTCCCCACAGCCCTGCACTAGGGCCAGGGGGACTCGGGGGGTACCAATGGGGTAGTACGCAGCCCCCCATCCTCACCTCCATCCTGGCACCAGCATAAGCCCCATGGCCATGCCAGCCACCTCAGCACAGCCCCGAGTGACATGAGATTGTGGGGTCTCTGCTTGACCCACAAGTTGACAACTGCTGCCCCACAAGTGGGTAGATGCCCTCAGGACCCTCCCCATGGGGGGACTCGGGGGGTACCAATGGGGTAGTACGCAGCCCCCCATCCTCACCTCCATCCTGGCACCAGCATAAGCCCCATGGCCATGCCAGCCACCTCAGCACAGCCCCGAGTGACATGAGATTGTGGGGTCTCTGCTTGACCCACAAGTTGACAACTGCTGCCCCACAAGTGGGTAGATGCCCTCAGGACCCTCCCCATGGGTGCTGGCTGGGGGCAACAGCCCCGTTCTGCTCACCTTCATCCCACAAACAGCCAGCCCCACTGCTCCAGCACCCCCCCCCG